TAATTAAGAAACATTAAAAAGAAAACCGATTTGTTGAAGGTGCATATGTTGGAATTGCTAGAGATGTTTTGGTTTGATTACATGCCAACAAGAAAGTTTCAAATTTGGCGTTAAGTGATCTTGGCAATATAGTCGATGGGGGATTGTTTCGTAAACATATGAGACACAAGTTTTAGTTGAAAATTAACGCGAATTACAAAGTGTTTTTAGTTGAAACTTCCTTAATTCTCTCTGAGATTCCTTTAAATGGGCTTTGAATTTTCTTTTCTTCCGGCCCAATCGTAATTTCCTTGCAGAATAGGTTAGGGTTTTACACTAGATCAGGTTCCCGGGTAGCTCTTCCTCTTCCTCTTCCTTTGTTAGGTGAAACACACAATCATACATACATGTCTCTGGTTTTCCAGCGAATCACAAAGCTCTCAGCAGCACGCAGAGAGAATTCTCGTTTCTTCTCATCATTGCCTCAGTTCCCGTGTTTGCTTCTGGACAGTGGTGAGACAGACAGTGATGAGACAGTGCATGACTCTCCGGAGGGCACCATCAGGTTTTTCGACGTGACAACGGAAAATTTGGTGTGTAGCAGTGAGAAGAAGGCTCCCAAGCACCTCCATATATAGTCGAAGTTTTAAGGGAGCATCACAAGGTTGGCTCGCTGCTGTGAATGACGGTACATTACAGCTTACAGATCTTTACAAGCCATGGGTTTCATCTCCAAGAGTCATATCATTGCTTCCACTCGGTGACATCCCGAGGTCCACATTCTGTCTCACCAGAGTGTCTCTTTCTTCTCCTGATCCTGTCTAAAACGACTTTTGTGTGGCTGCAAAGTTCAATAACTATCAGCTAAGTTTATGCAGGCCTTGTTGTGACGACGACCCCAAGTGGACTCACTTCAAAGCCCCTCTCACATCAGACTCTGCGCTCATGTATTCCAAGAGAGACAAATCATTTTACTTCACCACTTCTGAGTCTAACCGCATGGGTTTATTGGATCCAAGCTACGTCAACGAGGTCAAGTATAAAAACATACGCCTTCAAAATTACCTGCCCAAGATCTCACATGCAAGTCGGGAGCGGTTGGTTAATTGTATCATGACCGAGCACTTGGTGGAGTCACCTTCTGGTCAAGTATTCTTCATCAAGTGGTACGTATTCAGTATTTCTTAAACTACTATTAAAATCAATCCAGTTAGAGTAGAGATTGAGCTGTTTCTTTGTTGAACCTCTGTGTAGGTACACAAAGTGCATTCACGAAGGGGATTTTAAAGTTTATGGTGTTTAGGGAGGATGATGAGAAGAGCCATGATTTTTGTTACACGGAAGATATTGGAGATCTCTGCATCTTCCTTAGCGAGGGTGAAGCCTTCTGTCTCTCAGCAAGCATGTACCCAGGACTCAAGCCTAACTCCATCTATTACACTGGCGTGCGAGCTGGTCGTTACAATCTAGCTTCTGGCACCACCCATTCCTTCTATCCCTATGATGAATCCGACGATATGCTTGATGCCTGTTACTGGCTTCATCCCACTGATCACATTCACAAAGAGGGCACAGAAAAGGGCTCCAAGAGTAATACCTCGTCGGCTTCTTGTTCTGATATTGATGACTCGTATTTACATCTATTTCAGAGTATTCGAGCTTTACGTGTCACAGATCTCTTCGGTTCAGTACGTTTACTTTCTCCTTTTTACTCTTGGAAGCAGATTGATCTCTTTTCTATTTTGTTTTTTTGTCATAGGAATGGTGTGAGAAACAAATGGAAAATTTTCTTCTTCTTGATGAGAGTAAAGCCATGGAACTTGGTCAGGCTCGTCAGGAGGTATGAAATATGAGGCTGATCAATTTCTCACTGTTTCTATGTCGTATTTGGTGAAATCATCTATGTAGTTTTTCTTCTGCTAATAATGGACAGGTAGTTGAAAGAGTCATGAAAAAATTGAGCATATCATTGGGGTCTGAGGAAGAGGTATGAAAATGGTGTCTCACTGTTTCTATATATTTTCTGTGAAAACAAACTTTTAGTTTCTTTTCTCCTACTAATGGGCAGATAGTTGAAAAAGTGACCAAAAAATTCAACAATTTTGAGGAGCTTGAAGAAGAGGTAAATATTTCATACTAACTTGGTYTTCATGGAGTCTCACTGTTTCTATATATTTTCTCTGAAAACAAACATTTAGTTTCTGTTCTCCTACTAATTGGCAGGTAGTTGAAAAAGTGACCAAAAAATTCAACAAGTTTTTGGAGCTTGAAGAAGAGGTATGAAATATTTTATACTAACTTGGTGTTCATGATGTTTCACTCTCTCTATATGGCACTATCAAAACATTTCACTGAAATCTTTTCGTTTCTGTTGCGGTGATAATGGGAAGGTAGCTGAAAAAGTCGTACGATTCATGGGCCAGAAGCTTGAAAACGTATGAAATAATTCATACTAAATTGGTATTCATGTTCATTGTGTCTCACTGTTTCTCCATGTTTTCTATAAAAACAAACATTTGCTGAAAATCATTTAGTTTTGGTTCTGCTAATAATGTGCAGGTACTTGAAAAAGTCACAAAAAGATTCAACGAGTTTGAGGAGCTTGAAGAAGAGGTATGATATATTTCTTACTAACTCGGTGTTTATGATAGATATCTCGTTGTCTCTATATGGTTCTTTGAAAACATTTGTTACAGTATATTATTGTTTCTGTTATGCTAATAATGGTCAGATTGGTTTTAAGGTAACAAAAAAATTCAGCAAGTTCAAGGAGCTTGAAGAAGAGGTATGAAACATTTCATATTAATTGGTGTTCATGATGTCTCACTACGAAAACATTTGCTAAAATAGTTTAGTTTCTGTTCTGCTAATAATGGGCAGGTAGTCGAAAAATTCACGAAAACATTCAGAGATTTGGAGCTTGAAGCCGAGGTATGAAATATTTCATACTTCTTGGTTGGTGCTCATGGTGTCTCACCGTTTCTATATGTTTTCAATGAAAACATTTGCTGAAATCATAGTTTCACTTCTGCTTCAATGGAACTCACGAGAAAAACTCACGAGAACATTCCAGTCTGGCTTCAATAAGAGGTATGAAATGTTTCTATATATTCCTATAAAACCATTACCTGAATCATTTAGTTTCTTATCTGCTAATGATGGCCACAGGTCTTTGGGTGACGAAAAAAAACCAGCTAACACCATGGTAGTTGAAGAGGAATATAAAGAAGAGCTTGAATATGAAATATTTCTAACTTAGTGTTCATACCGTGGTGTCTCACGATTTTGCTGATAATGTTGTTTCTTGAGCTCTGGATGATAAAAGGTGGTCTCTGGTATTAGAGACGGCTCTCGGTTGACGCCGGTAACGCACATGCGTTAGGTATAAAAAAATATTAGAAATTTATAGGACATCAGATTCCGAAAAAGTGGTAGTGGTGTGGTGGTATTTCTGTTATAAATACTCTTGGAGGTGGTGAGTTCGAGCCTTGAAGGGGCATCAAAAAAAATTTTTGCGTTAGGCAACAAAACTTTACGGACCAGCCCTGTCTGGTATCTTCTGCCATCCCACACAGCTTGCAAGCAATTTCTTGTTCATTTTCAGCAAAAAG